CCCGTCCTGTCCGGTCCTGTCGTCTCCTTTTCCTCCCCTCCTTGAGTCGTCACCTTACCGTGGTGGAGGGGTTTTGGAGCCTGAATGATCCCAGGAGCCGTGCTGCTGGGGGACGGCTCACACCAAGAGCGGCTCTCTCTCTCCTCCTTCTCTCTCTCTCCCTCCTCCTCTCTCTCTCCTCCTCTCCTCTCTCTCTCTCCTGTTCTCTCTCTCCTCTCCTCTCCTCTCTTCACATGTATGATGTAACAAGAAACAATAAAATCCGAGTCAGAGTTTACAGTTTGACAGCGAACGAGAGACGAGGGGATGAAGAGAGAGAGAGACAGACGTGATGAAGAAGCACAGACAGAACCCACACCAGAAAAAAAAAAAAAAAAAACCCCGACCCCACCCACCACCCCTCTGCCATAAATAAAGTCTGAAACTAAACTTGCTGATTTAAATTTTTCATTCACGTGAAAATTAAATGATGAAATTTGAAAGTGTCTGGGCGAGAAGAGAACATGAACATGAATCTGATATCAGCAATAAAAAAGTATCTGTACTCTACACGGACTTCCTCAGGAGGTCCTGGTTTAGTTCTGGTTTAGACCTGGTTTAGTCCTGGGTCAGTCTTTGTTTAGTCTCGGTTTAGTCCCGGTTCAGTCCTCCTGGTTCAGTCCTTGGTTCAGTCCTGGTTCAGTCCTGGTTTAGTCCTGGTTCAGTCCTGTTCAGTTCCTGTTCAGTCCTCAGGGTTTAGTCCTGGGTTCAAGTCCCTGGTTCCAGTCCTGGTTAGTCCTGGTCCTCAGTCCTGGTTCATCAGTCCTGGTTTAGTCCTGGTTCAGTCCTGATTCAGTCCTCGGTTTAGTCCTGGTTTAGTCCTGGTTCAGTCCTCGGTTTAGTCCTGGTTCAGTCCTCGTTCAGTCCTCCTGGTTCAGTCCTCGGTTCCTCTCCTCTCTTCTTTCTCTCCTCCTCCTCTGCTTTCTTCTTCTTCCTCTCCGCTCCTCCCTTCTTGTTCTTCTCCTACTCCTCCCCTGTCTTCTCCTTTCTCCTCTTCTTCCTTCCTCTCTTCTCTTTCCTTCCTCCTCTCCTCCTCCTCTCTTCTCTTCATCTCCTCTTCCTCCCCTCTTCCCCTGTCATCTTCCTTTCTTGCTTCTCCCCTCTTCCTCTCCTCCACTCTTTCTTCCCTTCTTCCTCCTACTTCCCTCCTTTCTTCTTCTTCCTCTCCTCCTCCCCTGTCTTCTTCCTTTCTTGCTTCTCCCCTCCTCGTCTCCTTCCTCTCCTCTCCCTTTCCTCTTCCTCTCGTTTCTCTCGTCCTCTTCTTCCTCCTCCTCACTTCTTCCTCTCCTCTCTTCTTCCTTTCCTCCTCCTCTCCTTTTTTCCTCTCTTCCTCCTCCCCCTCTTTTTTCTTCTTCCTCTCCCCTCCTCCCTTCTTGTTCTTCTCCTACTCCTCCCCTGTCTTCTCCTTTCTTGCTTCTCCCCTCTTCTTCATCTCCTCCTCCTCCCCTCCTCTCTTTTTCTTCTCATCCTCCTCTCTCTTCTCTTCCTTCCCTCTTCTTGTTCTCCTGCGCTCGTCTCTTCTTCCTCTGCACCTTCTCCCTTCCTCCCACCTCCCTCGCATCCTAAACTTCTCTTTTCCTTCTCTCCTCTTCACCTTTTCCTCCTCTTTTCTTCTTCCTCCTCCTCCCCTCCTCGCTTTCTCTCTCATTTCTTTCTCTTCTTCGGTCTGCACCTCTGCTCTGCTGTAAGCTCTTATATTACAATAACATGCCCTCAGACGTTCACATATGTGCTTGTGCTGTTCCACACTCATTACAGCGGTCAGATATGCTCTGCACAAACTGCACTGGACTTGAGATGAATGTTAAAGGAAAAACTTTGTATTAATAGATCAAATAATCATTAGATGTAGAATTTACTGCTGGAGGTCTTCAGTGCAGCAACCTAGAACTTTACAAGCTGCGAGGATCCAAAGGCATCATCTGGGGAACCATCTTGAGCAAAATTTGGTCAAGAGACGGCCAAAGCACTTTCATTATTCATTCATTTCACACTCAGTTTTGATGGAGGACACTTTAGCGTTTGTTTGTATAATAATGGCGTATTGGCAGCGTTGCGGGGAATCGGTATATAAACTTTGTGCTCCCATATAGCCTATCATATGAGCCGATGTAGAAGTGCAGTGGCGAATGATTTTACTGCAGACAGGAAACAGCTGACGCGATCGCGCTCACAACTTTACAGCCTGTGGTCCGCAGACATAACCCGCCGCTCTATAGGCTACCAACCGACCTATCAGTCGATCTGTTGTATTCGGCACCATGTACAGACAGAGATTGATATGACATGATATGATATATCATGATATGATCTAGATCGTCGAGCGGCAGGCTTATAATAGGCGACGACTCGTGATCGTCAGCAATACGCTGCCGTTGCGATGCATAGGTTAGACTGTCATTAGACTAAGTTGTGGACTCCGGCAACAAGCTGCCCTACTAGTATCAGGACCCGCCACGGGTACTTTTTGCTATCTGCTGTTACCCGAACTCAGTGCTTCTGCTGATGTGAGGTGAGTTGTGTAAAGTTAGCTGCATGCTGTTTTTATGATGATAACTTGGGATGAGGACGGCTCGCGGTGTTAACGTGACATCGGTGCCTTTCACAATTACATAGGCACCGGGGAACAGAAGTACGGGAACACAAACAAACACAAACGTTTACATGACCGTGGAATAAATTAATTTGGCTTTAAAATTGGAATAAATAATTTAATAATTCGGATTAAAATTTTATTCCGAATAATCATTAGGAATTAAGTGTTTAATTCCCTTTAAAAAAAAAAAAAAAAAAAAAAAAAACATAATTTTGTCTGCATGAAGCTTAGGGACTGCGTAGAACGCGCCAAGACGCCAGCGTGCTTACGTAAGTGCGCACGTGCGCACTGTTGCTATCTTTGTTGCTATGTGCATCTTTCAAACATTGCAAACTTTGCAAACCCTCGATCGAGATCACAAACTGCGCTCCTAAACTTCATTTCAGGATATTTATCTACACCAGACTGATCTTCGGGATATTTCTACACAGATTGCTTCTGGCCGCCCCCTGACTCGGACTACAATTCTCTTGGGACGAAAAAGCCAGAGGTTTGTGACTAAAAGTAACGAATACTGTAATGCATTGCTTTTTGCTATAACGCAGTACTGTAAGGCATTGAAGGGGGGGGGGGGGGGGAATTAATATCTGACAAGGTACAAATGTCAGTAACACGCGTTACAAAGCTTTTTTAACCTGGGTTGAAGTGGTGGCTTTTTCGTTTCTCTTCATACAAATTAGCTAATATCAGCAGCAGTTAAGCGCCGGAGGTGCACCCGCGTAGGTTTGGTCCTGGTTTGGTCCTGGTTTAGTCTCGGTTTAGTCCCGGTTTAGTCCTAGTTCATCTCTGGTTTAGTCCCGGTTTAGTTCTGGTTTAGTCCCGGTTTAGTCCTGGTTCATCTCTGGTTTAGTCCCGGTTTAGTCCTGATTCAGACCTGGCTCAGTTCTGGTTTAGACCTGGTTTAGTCTTGGTTCAGTTCTGGTTCAGCTCTGGTTCAGCTCTGGTCCTGGTTTATATCTGGTTTATACCTTGTTTGGTCCTAGTCCTGGTTCAGTTATTTTGGTGAGAGTTATTTAAAAGTGCTGCAGTAGTCATGTAATGTCTTACATTTTAAATGCAGTAATATTGTAATGTAATGGATTACTTTGAAATGACAGTAACAAGTCATAAATAACGAATTACAGTTTTGAAGTAACTTGCCCAACAGTTGTATTACCCCACTGAAAATTCCTAAAAGTAGGGTCATTTATAATACAGTGAGATTCCTGAACATAGACAAAATCAGATTTAAACTGTTTACTACTACTCAAAAAAAATGATGAAACTGATTACATCGAAAATCAAGTACAAAATCTGCCTTTTTTGACTTAACAAACTGTCTATCTTTAAGCGGTATATACCCTAAAAATTGTAATTTTTGTAATTAATATTTTTATTTTAAACTTTTTTGTCAAAACATAACTAGTACACTAGTACTCTAGGTTTGCTGTACTCTTGTATGTGCGTCCTGTTAGTTCTGGTGTCTGACACAAATGTTTGTTCCCACAGGTCTGTGTGAGCCAAGGGCCACGACTGCTCCAGGCCCCCGGGCCTTCAGGTCCCCGGACACCCGGACACCCGGACACCCGGACACCCAGACACCCAGACACCCAGACCTCCAGACACCCAGACACCCAGACACCCAGATCTCCAGACACCCAGACCTCCAGACACCCAGACACCCAGATCTCCAGACACCCAGACACCCAGACACCCAGACCTCCAGACACCCAGACACCCAGACCTCCAGACACCCAGACACCCAGACCTCCAGACACCCAGACCTCCAGACACCCAGACACCCAGACACCCCAGACACCCAGACCTCCAGACACCCAGACCTCCAGACACCCAGACACCCAGACCTCCAGACACCCAGACACCCAGACACCCAGATCTCCAGACACCCAGACACCCAGACCTCCAGACACCCAGACACCCAGACCCCAGACACCCAGACACCCAGACCTCCAGACACCCAGACACCCAGACCTCCAGACACCCAGACACCCAGATCTCCAGACACCCAGACCTCCAGACACCCAGACACCCAGACCTCCAGACACCCGGACACCCAGACACCCAGACACCCAGACACCCAGACACCCAGACCTCCAGACCTCCAGACACCCAGACACCCAGACACCCAGACCTCCAGACACCCAGATCTCCAGACACCCAGACACCCAGACCTCCAGACACCCGGACACCCAGACACCCAGATCTCCAGACACCCAGACACCCAGACCTCCAGACACCCGGACACCCAGACGCCCAGACGCCCAGACACCCAGACACCCAGACTTCCAGACACCCAGATCTCCAGACAGACCCCAGACACCCAGACACCCAGACACCCAGACACCCAGACACCCAGACACCCAGACACCCAGACACCCAGACACCCAGACACCCAGACCTCCAGACCTCCAGACACCCAGACCTCCAGCACAGGACCTCTCATCTAAGTCCAAGTCACCAACAGACACTAACACACACTAACACACACTAGCACACACTAGCACACACTAGCACACACTAACACAAACACCCACAGACTCACGCTCACACAAATTCACACAAACACACACTAACACAGGCACACACACACACACAAAGATTCACACTCAAACACACTCACAAAAGCACGTTAACAAACACACACCTTAAACACACAAACACTCAAAAACACACACAAACAAAAACAAATATATATAAACTGCCTCTGCCTGCTGCTGATATGTTTCCACCTGCAGCTCCGACGTTCCCGCCCGCTGCTCCAGTGCCTCCTGCCGCGCCCACTGCTGCTCCCGCCGCTCCTGCCGTGCCCGCTGCTGCTCCCGCCGCTGCTCCTTTCACGCCCCTGCCTGCTACTTCTTTTAGGATTCCTCGTCTCGTTCGTGCTCCTGCCGCGCCCACTGCTGCTCCCGCCGCTCCTGCCGCGCCCACTGCTGCTCCCACCGCTCCTGCCGTGCCCGCTGCTGCTCCCGCCGCTCCTGCCGCGCCCACTGCTGCTCCCGCCAGGCCCCTGCCTGCTACTGCTTTTAGGATTCCCCGTCTTGTTCGTGCTCGTGCTGCGTTCGCTACTGCTCGCGCTGCTGCTCCCGCCGCTCCTGCCGCGCCCGCTGCCGCTCCTGCTGCGCTTGCTGCTGCTCCTGTCGCTCCTGCCACGCCCGCTGCTCCTGCCACGCCCACTGCAGCTCCAGTGTCCCCGCCTGCAGCAGCTTCACTCTTCTACCCGAACGATGTCGACATGGCCTCCACTGACGATATCTTGTCTGTTTCTTTTAGGGTTCCTGCTACTCCCCTGCCTCCTGCTGCTCCTGCCGTTCCTGCTTCTGCTCCAGTGTTCCCGCCTGCTTCAACTTCTTTCTTCTACCCGAACGATGTCGACATGGCCTCCACTGACGATATCGTGTCTGTTTCTTTTAGGGTTCCTGCTACTCCCCTGCCTCCTGCTGCTCCTGCCGTTCCTGCTTCTGCTCCAGTGTTCCCGCCTGCTTCAACTTCTTTCTTCTACCCGAACGATGTCGACATGGCCTCCACTGACGATATCGTGTCTGTTTCTTTTAGGGTTCCTGCTACTCCCCTGCCTCCTGCTACTCCCGCCGCTCCTGCCGCGCCCCCCTGCTGCTCCCGCCGCTGCTCCTTTCACGCCCCTGCCTGCTACTTCTTTTAGGATTCCTCGTCTCGTTCGTGCTCCTGCCGCGCCCGCTGCTGCTCCCGCCGCTCCCCCTGCTGCTCCCGCCGCTCCTGCCGCGCCCGCTGCTGCTCCCGCCGCTCCCCCTGCTGCTCCCGCCGCTCCTGCCGCGCCCGCTGCTGCTCCCGCTGCTCCTGACGCGCCCGCTGCTGCTCCCGCCGCTCCTGACGCGCCCGCTGCTGCTCCCGCTGCTCCTGACGCGCCCGCTGCTGCTCCCGCCGCTGCTCCTTTCACGCCCCTGCCTGCTACTTCTTTTAGGATTCCTCGTCTCGTTCGTGCTCCTGCCGCGCCCCCTGCTGCTCCCGCCGCTCTTCCTATGCCCCTCGTCGCCTCTCTCGCCAGGCGCCCCAAGCCCTCTGCGCCTCCTCCTACTGTTTCCCTCTTTGCTGCTCCTGCCACGCCCCTGCCTTCTGCTCCTGCTTTGCCCCGCTCTGCTCCTTCCGTTAGGTACCCCTGTGCTGTTCCTCGTCTGTGTCCCAAGTCCTGGCCAGCCGTTCCTGCCACGCCCCTGCCTTCTGCTCCTGCTTTGCTCACCCCTACCTCTTCTGGTCTGTCTCTCCCTGCTCCTGCTTTGCCCCGCTCTGCTCCTTCTGTTAGGTACCCCTGTGCTGTTCATCGTCTGAGTCCCAGGTACTGGCCTGCCGCTCCTGCCACGCCCCCGCCTGCTGCTCTTCTTGCTTCTCTTGCCACAGCTTGCACATCCTTCTTGTCTTGGCTTTTCTCTTTTCTGAAGCAGTAGTCCTTCCTTCTCCCTCTACTTTCGCTCTATCTCTCTCACTTCTCCTTTTCTCTCTCTCTCCTTCTTCTCTCTCCCTCCCTCTTCCCTCTCTCCCTGTCACTCTGTCTTTTGCTCCCTTTCTCTTATCTCTCTCTTCCTCTCTTTCTTTCTCCCTAGCTTTTCTCTCTCCTTTTTTCTCTTTCTCTCCCACTCTCTCCTTCTCCCTCTCTCTTTCTCTCTCTCCTCCCTTTTCTAATCCCCACCTCTCTCTCTCCCTCCCTCCCCCTTTCTCTCTAGCTCTTCTCTCTCCCTCTCATTTATCTCCTAATCTCTCCCCCCTCTCTCTCCTCCTCTCTCTTCCCTCTCTCCTCTCTCTCTCTCTACCCTCCATTTTACACACTCTCGTTCTCTCTTCCCGTTCTCTCTCCCCTCGTTTCTCTCTCTTTCTCTCCTCCTCTCTCTCTCTCTCTTTCTCCCCTCCTCTCTCTCTCTCTCTCTCTTTCTCTCTCCTGTCTCTCTCCTTCTCTCTCTCTCGCCCTGTTTCTCCCTCACTTTTCTCTCTCTTTTGTCTCTCCCCCAATATCTCTTTTCTCTTCTATCTCTCCCTCTCTCTGTCTACCTGTCTCTCTCCCCCCCTCCTGCTCTCTCTCTCTCTCTCTCTCTCTCTCTCTCTCTCTCTCTCTCTCTCTCTCTCTCCCTCCCTCTCTCTCTCCTGTCTCTCTCCTCTCTCTCCCTCCTCCCCTCTCTCTCTCTCTGTCTCTCTCTCTCTGTCTCTCTCTCTTCTCTTCTCTCTTTCTCTTTCCTCCCGTCCTGTCCGGTCCTGTCGTCTCCTTTTTCCTCCCCTCCTTGAGTCGTCACCTTACCGTGGTGGAGGGGTTTTGGAGCCTGAATGATCCCAGGAGCCGTGCTGCTGGGGGACGGCTCACACCAAGAGCGGCTCTCTCTCTCCTCCTCCTCTCTCTCTCCCTCCTCCTCTGTCTCTCTCTCCTCCTCTCCTGTTCTCTCTCTCCTCTCCTCTCCTCTCTTCACATGTATGATGTAACAAGAAACAATAAAATCCGAGTCAGAGTTTACAGTTTGACAGCGAACGAGAGACGAGGGGATGAAGAGAGAGAGAGACAGACGTGATGAAGAAGCACAGACAGAACCCACACCAGAAAAAAAAAAAAAAAACCCGACCCCACCCCACCACCCCTCTGCCATAAATAAAGTCTGAAACTAAACTTGCTGATTTAAATTTTTCATTCACGTGAAAATTAAATGATGAAATTTGAAAGTGTCTGGGCGAGAAGAGAACATGAACATGAATCTGATATCAGCAATAAAAAAGTATCTGTACTCTACACGGACTTCCTCAGGAGGTCCTGGTTTAGTTCTGGTTTAGACCTGGTTTAGTCCTGGGTCAGTCCTCGGTTCAGTCTTTGTTTAGTCTCGGTTTAGTCCCGGTTCAGTCCTCCTGGTTCAGTCCTTGGTTCAGTCCTGGTTTAGTCCTGGTTCAGTCCTGGTTTAGGCCTGGTTTAGTCCTGGTTCAGTCCTGGTTCAGTCCTCGGTTCAGTCCTGGTTTAGTCCTGGTTCAGTCCTGGTTCAGTCCTGGTATAATCCTGGTTTAGTCCTGGTTCAGTCCTCGGTTCAGTCCTGGTTTAGTCCTGGTTCAGTCCTGGTTCAGTCCTGGTATAATCCTGGTTTAGTCCTGGTTCAGTCCTGGTTCAGTCCTCGGTTCAGTCCTGGTTTAGTCCTGGTTCAGTCTTCGGTTCAGTCCTGGTATAATCCTGGTTTAGTCCTGGTTCAGTCCTGGTTCAGTCCTCCTGGTTCAGTCCTCAGTTTAGTTCTGGTTCAGTCCTGGTTCAGTCCTCCGTTCAGTCCTGGTATAATCCTGGTTCAGTCCTCGGTTCAGTCCTCGGTTCAGTCCTGGTTCAGTCCTCGGTTCAGTCCTGGTTTAGTCCTGGTTTAGTCCTGGTTCAGTCCTCGGTTCAGTCCTGGTTTAGTCCTGGTTTAGTTCCTGGTTTCTGTGTTCTGCATTCTGGAGAACACAGCTTCACAGCAACCGGGTGGGTGCGCCATCCTGGAAGTCACTGGATCACAAAGCCTGGACTCCCGTGACAACCGAAGTTGTGCAGAGTTGCTCAGAAGTGACACCGAGGATGAAGAATTCAATGGATTTAGTGATTTGGAGTGAGATGGAGAGTTTGGTAAACTTATGTTCTGTTGTTTATGCTGTAGTTATCTGAAGAACTGTTCATATATGACGTTAACATATTAACGCCTATTCAGCCTGTTGTTCTTTATTCTATTGTTATTTTTTCTGTACCTTGCCTTTGAAGATGAAACGTTGGTTCCTGGTCCTTGATTTTATAAAATAAATTTCCCCTAAAAAGTGTGACTGTGACGGAGCGCCTGTGTTGCCCCGTCATCTCCCGACTGGCGCGTCTGCATCTGGCCAAAGAGCGCGCGACGCTTCCTTCCCTCCCCGTTTTGCGGAGCTAAGCTCCGATAGACTGGTTTATGCAGGACCGCTCGTGTGTCTCGCGGTCCTGTTTTCCCCAACATCTGAACGGTTTCCCGGCTAGTGCGTTCGAGGTGCACACTCGACGCCGACGCTGCTTTCCTACCTGCAGCAGCCTCCGCGCCGTTCTTGAGTTCAGGGCCAAACCGAGGCACTTCCTGGTTGTGCTTTAAATAGCGCATAGTGGCGCGCTCAAGGGGGACATGTGATCATGGACTCAACCATTGTGGTCTATTTGGGGTCATTTGTGGGTTTTTGAAGTTGTTTAATGGAACTTATGTTAACCTTATGAGGGGTTCTTTAAGTTATTTTTATTATGTTTATTTCCAAGTTGATTTGTGTTCCTCAATACAATTTTGCTTATGTTAATTCCTTAAAAAACCCATTTTCGTTAATTGGTTAGCCCGGGGGGAGGGGCTAAGGGGGTATAAAAGGAGGGAGCTCCGGTCATTTGGGAGTGGGTATTTGGCCTGACTACGTGGGTGCTGGCAACTGTAAGTGATTAGAGTACATATGTTTGTAAATACTTCTGTCTACCACCTCATTTTTTTTGGTCACTGTAAATATTTCACTCTGCACTTGGAGCTGTGGTGCGAATAAAAACCCACATAAGTGAAGTTTTTTTGACTGAGCCATCATTTTTACATTTATTTCGAATGAACCCGTGACAGTGACGTACAGTCCAGTGCGACTTATATATGTTTTATTCTTCATCATTACACATTTTTTGGCTGGTGCAATTTATATTCTAGAGTGACTTATAGTCTATAAAATATGGTGTATATAAATAAACATAACACTTTTGGATAAGAAAATGAGTGTAGACTTCACACCCTCCAGGTACCACACTTTGAACACATTCACAGTCACAGGTGGGAGACACATTATTTTGGGTATAGAATCTTGGCTTATATAAAACTGGGGCTTTTACTTGGCACCTGAGCAGCTGGAGCAGATGATGACTACTGTACTATCTAAACCAATGTGTGGCACCGATGTGGTCGAGGAGCTAGCATTAACGCTCAGAGAAAATATTCCCTACATGAGACAGTGCTGTAGGTCTCCGGCTGGACTAAAAACACTAATGAGAGGTTAGTGACGCTGCGGAGACAGGAGCACATAAAACTAAGACCTGACTCTAATGAGGCACAGAGGAAACTAGTGATGTTTGTGATCACTCTGGTTTGAGCTAAAACATGGATGACTGTTGTGTTACAATGCTATTACCTCCTCAAAAACATATCTGGAGTCGTGTTTTGTTTCATCCACACGTCTGAGTAATCTTCCATTATTTTTCTTGTACTTCTACGGCGTATTAAAGGTCCCATATTACACAAAACTGACTCTTGACTCGCTTTTCTGCATAAATGGAAAAAAGAAAGGATTGTTGAGGGGGAGTGGTGAAATAATGAGGCTCTATTCTGCCCATATGGAAATGTGCTTAACCCACATATTTACAGACGGGAAGCAGAGGAGTCGTAGTGAGCGTACAAATAGCTGATATCCTTATTTCCAGGCGTTCCTTTGGTAATGTATTTAGATGTACTTTCATATTTGAGCTAAAGTTCAGCAAAATGAGCAAAAATCTTCAGTCCGGACATTTGTGACACTGAGGGACATGAGGACACTGGACAAGTGCTCTGCATCATGGACACTCCTGCTCACCCACTGCACCAGACGATAGAGGGACAGATAATACTCCCTACAAATGTACAACAACTCACCCACTCCATCAGACTACAGAGGGACAGATAATACTCCCTACAAACTGTACAACAACTCACCCACTGCACCAGACTACAGAGGGACAGATAATACTCCCTACAACTGTACAACAACTCACCCACTGCACCAGACTACAGAGAGACAGATAATACTCCCTACAAATGTACAACAACTCACCCACTGCACCAGACTACAGAGAGACAGATAATACTCCCTACAACTGTACAACAACTCACCCACTGCACCAGACTACAGAGAGACAGATAATACTCCCTACAAATGTACAACAACTCACCCACTCCATCAGACTTCATAGAGACAGATAATACTCCCTACAAATGTACAACAACTCACCCTTATGTAACAGATAATACTCCCTACAACTGTATAACAACTCACCCTTATGTAACAGATAATACTTCCTACAACTGTACAACTACTCACCCTTATGTAACAGATAATACTCCCTACAATTGCACAACAACTCACCCTTATGCACCGATACATTGATGTATTAGGACTGTTTACTGATCATAGTTGGTCCAGAAAGTCTCATAATGTTTGAGCTTTCAGTACAAAGTTGTTCTGCTGTTACTTAAGAGGTAAAGAACATACAATATATTTTGGGTTTAGGAAAATAAAGTCGTTGAAGTATTTTTAGTCCCCGCACTGGTATCGACTGATATTGAAATCGATATCAGAACTGAAAAAGCTGGATCAGAGCTTCCCTACCCTTATGTAACAGATAACCTTAT